CCATTCACTATAATTTTCTTGGTAATGATTTTTCTGCCATCCACAATTTTGCTGGTTGTGATGATGGAGCGGAACTTGCCACTTTTGTCCCTGTTTGGCGATGTGACGAAGGAGCAGGAGCAGCCCTCTGGGATGTCGGACGCAAAGGAAGTGAAACTGGTTCCTGCAATGGGGGAGATGCTCTTGATCGTGACCGAAAAGCTCATGCTGGTTTTGCTTCTGCTTCTGCTTCTGCGAGGATTTCGCTGAATGTTTTCACTGGATCGGTCATAGGCATCTCTTTTTTTCGCATCAGATAAGACTTCATACGCTTTTGAGATTTCTACAAATTTCTTCTCAGCTGCTTCTCGGCCTCCTGGATTCTTATCAGGATGCACTTTTAAGGCCAACTGTCGGTAGGCCTTTTTAATATCATCCGCAGATGCAGTTCTTGGTAGTCCTAAAACCTCATAATAATTTACCATCTTCTTCAAATGTTAGCCCCAATAAGCCTGCTTGAGGCAAGTATCTGAACAATATCCCAAGGCCTTTTGGAGCTCTGTCAGTCTCACAGTTGAAGCGTAAAATACATTAGAAAGCAAAAAAAAAAGAAACATACACTCACAAATCCCTGGCCCATAATACTATTAAATATGTGGTATTTCTGCATGTAGTACCATGTTGGGGGGTTTGGTGATCTTAGCTGGGGTAATAACCAAGAGGCTACAGAGGAGGCAACTGTTGATTTCAAAACGGTTCAAACAGCTCCCTATAAAAGATTGTGACATCACCACTATTTTAGCTAAACAACAGTTAGATTTCATTCATTTGCATATTGCAGCCCCATTGGCTCTGGGGTGGGCTTTGTATGACATCAGAGAATAACAGCTGATGCATTCAGCTGAATGATATTCTGACTGGGAAAACTGGCAATGCTAGCTATAGTTTATCCTACATGCCAATCAAACACAAGATATGAAAAGGTCCATATTATTTCACATGCTCAGTCCAGCTGCATTACCCAGCATTCTTGCAACTTATTTGGTAATTTTAGTGAACAGAATATCTGCAGGTAATTTTAATCAAAATTTGCAGTTTCATCTCCATAGTCTCTTTTTCACATTGGCAGGAAAAGTTTGAGTTGAATGGGGCACAGATGCTACCTGAAAGGATCATTTCAAGTATAAATAGTTTCTGCCTTTGTTTTTGACTTGCTGAGGCTTCCGTTTTGTCTAAAAAGCCTTTCGTTTGATGATTTTCTCTTTAAATTTGAATGTATAACTTTATCTGCCTGGGTATTTAAAAATCCAATGACATCTGAAGAAAAAAAAACCCATTAAGAACATGCAGTTCTTAAATATCCTGAATTTATCTCTCTCGATCCCCTTTCCTAGATAGCCTCCTTCAAATACTGTTTTAGCAAGATGGGTGTCACCCCTTCCAAGTCTGTTTCTATTCAACTAAAGCAGTGTTGTCCAAACTTGGCCACTTTAAGGATGAGGGGCCTCAACCCCCCAGAATCCCCCACCCACCCTTGCGGGCTGGGGAATTC